CTCCTTTTATACAGTTCTCTCCCTTGACTGTTTCAATGCAGTGTACATTATTTATCTCTTCTTTTCTTAGTTTTCCCCTAACCCCCACATCAGTCCTGTTCTATAACAGTGCCATTATGCAGTATTTGTCTTTTTTTTTTAAAGTATTTGTCTTTTTGTAACTAAAATATTTCACTCAGCATGATATCCTCCATGGTCACCTATTTTGTATAATATTTCATGAGTTCTTTGTTTTTTGGTGCTGCATAATATTCCATTGTGTGACTATACCACAGCTTCTCTATCCATTGTTTTGTTGATGGGCACTTGGGTTGTTTCCAATGGTTTGCTATTGTGAACAAAGCCACAGTAAACATGGGTGTGCATATATCTACTTGGGTGGTAGTTTTAATTTTTTTAGAGTATATTCTCAGTAGTGGAATTGCTGGGTCAAATGATATTTCTACTTGCAACTTTTTGAGAAAGTGCCATACTGCCTTACATAGTAGTTGCACCATTTTACACTCCCACCAACAGTGAATAAGGGTTTCCAGTTTCTCCACAACCTCGCTAACATTTGTTGCTTGCTGCTCTGTTGAATTTTGCTATTCTTACTGGGGTGAGATAGTTGTTTTGATTTGCATCTCTCAGAGCTCGGGATTTTGAACATTCCTTCATGTGTTTGTTCACCATCTGAAAGTCTTCTTTGGTGATGTGGTGGCATGTATTTTTATCTTCCTTTTGCTGTGCCTCAGTCTCCTTTAAAATTCTAAACTCTTTTCATCCAGGGATCATGCATTATTCATCTGTACACTTCTGGATTGATTGTAAGGTAATTGCTTAGCAGAGATATTTAATCAAAGTAGACTGGATAAATAAACATTGATCTTTGTGGGGTTGAAGAATGTGAAAAAGGGGCCCTGGTGGTGCATTGATTAAGTTGCAAATGAAAAGTCTGCATTCAAACCGACCCAGGGGCTTCATGGGGAAAAAGATTCTTGTGTAGATTTCAGCCTAAGAAACCAAGCTACTCTGACATTGCTTTGCTTTGATGCCTTTTCTATGATCACAGTGGTGATAATCAGATAGATTCAAAGCAAGCCCACTTCTGTTGTTTCTGACTCACAGCGACCCTCTGCAGGGTGTCTGAGGATTGTTGTTACTTGCTATTGAGTCAGGTTTGACTCATAGGGAAACTGTGTCCTACAGGATGAAACATTGTCCAATCCTGCGCTGTCCTCACAATCATTGCCGTCTTTAAGCCATTGTTGCAGCCACTTTGTTGAAGGTCATCTTCTTTTTCTCCAACCCTCTAGCTTTATCAAATATAACAGTGTTTTAACTACATTTAAATTATTTATGAAAACTTAAAATGGATTCTAACCACGTGCCTTTGTGTTGGTAGTGCAGCCTCTTGCCCCTAGGTCACCAACGCTCTCAACAGTAACCACAGTAGTTAAAGAAAGCACTTTTAGAGTTGCATCTTAGGAGGACAAAAAAAGAATACATATTTTAAAGACCTTTCAAAATGACCTGAAAGTCTTTAAGTATAGTTGCATTGGTAATGACTTGGAAGATGCCAAATTTACTTTATTATTTAACTTTTTTTCCATGTAAAACCATCAAGAAGAAAAAAAAATAATCCTCACTGGACCAATTGGCAACATGATAGATGGAGAAAAGATTGAAGTTGCCAAGGATTTAGTTTTACTTGAATTCACCATCAACACCCATAGTTACAGCAGTCAGGAAATCAGAAGATATGCTGCGTTGGGAAAATCCGCTGCCAGGGCCTTTCCAAAGTGCGAAAGAGTAAGGGATGCCAGTTTAAAGACTAAGGTGTGCCTGATCCAAGTCATAGTATTTTCAGTTGCTTCATATGCATCTGAAAGCTGGACGTTGACTAAAAGTGACAGAATTGATGCCTTTGAGTTGTGGTTTTGGAGAAGAGTACTGAATATCTCATGGACTGCCGAAAGAACAGATAGATAGTATCCTGGAGAAAGTACAGCTCCTTAGAGGCAAATGTGGTGAAGCTTCATCTCTCAAACTTTGGGCATGTTATTAGGAGATGCCATTCCTTGGTAAGGGGCATCATACTTGGAAAAATGGAGGGTGAGCAAAAGAGAGGAAGACCTTCAACAAGATGAATTGATCTAACGATGCAGCAAAGGGCTCAAGTGTGTCAGAAATGATGAGGATGATATGGGATAGGGCAGGGTTCAGAGTTCATAGAGTTACTATGAATCATGAACAACATATGCGTAGTCGTAGGGAGCTCTGCTGGTGTAGTTGGGAGAGCTGCACTCCTGTAACCCAGAGGCCATGCCTTCGGCGGTTCCCATCCACCATGGAGCCCATCCACCAGTGGCTCGCTCCATGGATAAAAGATGGACAATCTCCTCGCATGTGGTTTACAGCCCCCTGGAAACATGCTGGAGGGTCAGATAAGAGTCAGTTCTGACTTGCCAGCAATAAGGCTTTTTTAGATGAGTGGTAACATTAGTAGGGGCTTTGATAGACAAGTGATAAGTGTCAGAGCTGCGGAGTTTCTCTTCCTCCCTTTCCCCAGAACAACCACAGTAAAGATCAAAGCAGCAGCTGCAACTCTATCTCTGTTAGGGCTGCAAAACTATTTCACCTCCCTTTTTAAGGAATAACAATCCACAAACCCAGACTTGCTCCCTTATCTTGCACGAACCCAGACTTGCTCCCTTATCTTATACCAAGTAGCTGTGAGCACTCTAACTGCCAATTTCCTTGTAAGACAATATAAAACTCCACTCTAACTTTAAGTAGCTGCTGGTCTCTACTTTAGAGCCAGCCTGACAGTTTCTCCTCAATAAACTGTCTTTCTTGGCTTGAACTGGGATCTGTCCTTCTTCAGCAACCTTATAATATGGAGTCAGGCTGCCATTAGCTGCCCCTTTAGGGGTAAAACCGAGAAATCTCCTTTACTGAGATTTACAGTCTCTGACAATTTGCTGGAGGGTCAGCTATGGGTCAGTTCCAACTCATTGGCACATAACAGCAACAGCAGTAATGTTAGTTTACCTATTTTACAGGTGAGAACATGGAGGCACATTGAGATAAATCTGGCCAAGACTCATATCTCTAGTGATGTTAGGATTTGCAGTGTGCTTTTATTTTTAATTCTGATGTCTTTAGTTATTGTTGTTGTTGTTATTGTTATGTGTCATTGAGTCTCTTGTGACTTATAGAGACCCTATGTACAATAGCCCTAACCCCTGCTCTATCCTGTGCCAACTTTCTATCTCTGACATACCTACCCTCATTACCCCAGTCATTGAGTCAATCCATCTCATCTGGGGTCTTCATCTCTTTCTCTATCTCTCCACCCTTCCAAGTATGATATCCCTCTCCAAGGACTGGTTCCTCTTTGCAACATGCCCAAAGTACGTCAGGTGAGGCATCAGAATCCTTGACTCCAAGGAGCAGCCTGGTTTCACCCTCACTAGGACTAACCTATTTGTTATTCTAGCAGTCTAGCATGTATTCAGTACTCTTCTCCAGCACAACCGCTCAAAGGCATCAATTCTTTCCATCATCCCTAGTCATTGTCCAGCTCTCTGATGCATAGCAAGCAATTGCGAAGACTATGGCCTGGATCAGGTGTACCTTAGTCTCCACACTGACGTCGTTTTTCTTCAGTACTCTGGAGAGGTCCCTAACTGCTGACTTTCCCAATGCAATTTGCCTTTTGATTTCCCTGCTGCTGGTACTGAGTGTGTTGATTGTGGAGCCAAGCAAAGTTGAAGATTGCTTACAAAGGCAAACTATTTTGAGTCTATCACTGTTGACCTCAAGTCTGTGTCCTGACTTCCATTACCATTTTGGCTTTAGTAACAAAAATAGTTGCCTATGTGATTTAATGTGTGACCTGCCAGTGTCATTACACTCTGCCCCCTCCTGTTCATCCTCCCTTGTCTTGTTTCCTTCCTCTGGCCATAACCTATAGCACTGGACACAGCACACAGTGAATGTGTAGTGTTAGCACAGTGCATATCGTATGTTTAAGAAATAAGACAGCCAGTTTCAGAGGTGTTAAATGACTTGCCTAAAGTCTTGTGAAACTTAGCTTTTCTGACTCCACTAATGTGTATATTCTGGCAGAGCTTGGTGTATCTGTTGACCAGATGATTCAGATTATTGTAGTTATTCAGGAAGTAATTTCTGTTAAATTATATTTTTGAAAATAAACTTAATGTCACTGCAAGAGGTTTGTGGGTTCCTTTTGAAAAATGATTTATTTTTTAAATTGTATAATGGTTTACTTACAAATTTGTAGACATTGTTTTTCACACTGGATATTTCCCCTTTCCTTTATTCATCCTTCCCTCTACCCATCAAATTGTGTGCCCCTTTGATTAAGCCCCCACCCCTTGAATCCTTGAACTCATTCTACAATAATGGTCTTATGCAGTATTTGTCTTTATGAGATTGAGTTAGTTCACTCAGCATAATGCTCTCCAGTCCCTCCCATGTTAGGTAGGAATTTAGAAATTTTTGCTCCTGCGTGCTGTGTAGTGTTCCATTATGTGAATGTGCCTTTTTCAGTCTCATTTGTCCTCCTCTTCTTTTCTGGCCTCTGGCCAGTCATCTCAGAGACCCTCTTCCCAACAACGTCATCAAACTTCACCAAAACTCAAGGGGCAGACTTCACACCTCAGGTGAGGTGGTTGGGCTGGGGCTTAAGAAGGAGGACTTCAAAAAGAAATCTTAGAATGGATCTAGGAGCTTCTGCTCTCTTACCTTGGGGTTTCCTATGTCCTGGAGTGGGAGCCTTTACTCCTCAGCATTTCTGGGAGCGCGCCTGGCCTGGGAGGAAGAGACTAGAGAAACCCTGCTTTCCAGCTCTGCTAGTGAGCACAGGCACCCCCTCTCGTAGCTCCTCCTTTGGACCCACCTCCTTCCCCTGGCTCTGCCCTATAGCCCTGGACACAGTACACAAAGCCTGCAGCTTCAGCTGGAAGAGAAACAAAGGAACTGCCTTCAGGGCTATGACCAGCACCTTCATCCCAGGGCACACCGGTCAGAACCCTCATTACATCCCGGGGTAAGACTTTGACCTTGCTTGTTTCAGGGAATAAAGGTAGAGATATAGGAGCTGTGCCACCTAAACCTTGGGGGCCAAGTAGACATTGGTTTGGGAGGCCAAGAGCTGGGGTTGAAAAAAAATAGCAAAGGAATAGTGATGATTTGAGCTGCTAAGAAGCTCTGTTATCTTCTCCATGGTAACAGGGTGACAACAGAGGAAGGACTGAAGGCTCAGGCAGACGGCTTAGAAATAATGCTTGCTCCAGTTACACATTTGAGTTCAAGAAAGATCAGGGCTTCTGTCTCAGCTTCTGTCTTGGGGGACTGTAGGGAAAGCGGTCTCTGGGGAGCTAAGTGGGAGGTGGGTCCAGAGGAGGAGCTAGGAGAGAGGGTTGCCTGTGCTCACTAGCACAACTGGAAAGCAGGGTTTCTCTAGTCTCTTCCTCCTAGGACAGGCGCACTCCCAAATATTACCCATTATGCTAAAGGTACACTGGACACTGCCCATTGCTTCGGTTCAGTATGGGCCAGACCTACGGGCAGCTGACTGGGAAACTTCTTCGAGGCCCTCCAGGCCTAGCCTGGCCCCCTGTCCACCGCACCCTTCTACCTCCCATTCGGCCTCCAAGATCTCCTGAGGTTCCCAGGGGGCACTCACCTCTCAGACCTGGTCATGAAAGACTTAGCTCCAGCATGATCTCTGGATATACAGGTATTACACAGGCATGGACAGGCATCGCCATCCCAGAACAAGTGTCCCAAATACTAATATGGGTCATCTGTGCCCCTTGTCTGCCAAGGTTTTGTACCTCGGGCACAGTTCATCTTTGCCAAGAACTCCAACCAGGTCTGGGCTGAGGCTCTGAATGATTTTACTCAGAGGCACAGGGAGCAACGGAGCCATGAGCTGCCAGAAGAGGACAAGGAAGAAAAAGACACGGAGGAAAACCGAGAGCCAAAGCCAGAGCTGGAGGCGAAGAAGGAGCCAGAGCTGGAACAGGAAGAACAAGTGAGACCACGAAGGCTGACGGAGCGAGAGTTTTAGCATTTGTGTCCAGGCCCTGGGGTGGCCATGAGAAGCATAGTCATGAGGATGGGGCTTGTGATCTTGAGTGCTGTGAGCCTTTGATATGCATTTTTTTTCTCCTATTAACTTCCCCTCCCAAGGTTTCTCCTTATTCAATGGATGACAGAGACCCTAGGAAATTCTTCATGTCAGGTGAGAGGAGGTGGGTAAAGAACAAAGGCTTGGGGAAAGGTCCCACAATGTTTTGACTCAGTATGCCTGTCCCTTTAGGCTTCACTGGTTATGTACCCCGTGCCCGCTTCCTCTTTGGCTCCAGCTTTCCTGTGCTCACCAATCAGGCATTGCAGGAATTCGGGCAGAAGTACTCAAAGGGCAGAGGTCGGAAGGATCCTGTACAGCTCCCCCCAGTTCCCAGGACGTACCCTCAGAACTTGTGCCTTTTACCTAACTATGGGGGCTATGTGCCAGGTGAGGAACGCCCCAGGGGGAGGTAGCTTGGGGAACTAGATGTTTGTGTGTTGGATTTGGAGGGGGGGGAATCTGGTATATAACAGATGTGGTTCATTAGAAAGTGAAAATAACTTAGTTTAAGGTGGGAGCTACAGCTAGATTTTGGGGGAGCTGCTGGCTAACAAAGAAAAGGCTTTTCCATACCACTGGCTGGACATGACCGATTCTCTTGGCCACACAGGGTACAAGTTCCAATTCGGCCACACATATGGGCATCTCACCCATGATGCACTGGGCCTCAGCACTCTCCAGAAACAGCTCCAGGTGTAGGTACCAGCACTGCAAATCCTCCCTTTGTTTGCAACCTATTTCCAATGATCTTTTTTGAAGGGGAAGAGGTGGGGACACAAAGAGAAATGAGTTTGGAGGCCGAGCACCTTTTTTATTAATAGGCATAATAAATAAATAAATAAATACATAAACTGAAGCCTGGGCTCCTCCTTCCTCTTCTGTTGACCAGGGCGCTGGTCACAGCCTGTTTACAGCTGGGGGAGCTGAGGGATCTGGCCCCAATACTGTTATCCGTCCTTCTCACCATCTGGCCTAGGGAGCCCTGCAAATGGGCCTTCAGGGCCACCTCCCTCCATAAGGACTTGTCTGCATCTGTGGAAGGTTGGTCCAGATGGCCGGGGGAAGTCCTGGCAGCCCAGCGCTGCATCTCTGTCCTCCTTCTGGAGTGGAGGTCTGGACGAGGTCACTGGGACAGTTAGGGGAGTAATTAATACTGAGCACAGGGAGCAGGTGCCAGCACAGGGACATGTGGCCCCTTGCTGTCGGTCTACTCTCTGTAGCCAAGCCACATGGACTTGGGAGGGGTTCTCAGGCTGAGGCTAGGGGGTTATGAGGGTCCCTGAGGCCACCAGCATGCACAGGGCCTCAGTTTTGGCTGCTTCTAGGGGTTGGACTTGGAGTTGGGGTCAAGGTCACATAGGCCAGAGGCACCAGGCCAGTGTCAGGGCCACGGCTGCAGCGCAACCAGTCTCCTCCAGCTGGGCCCAGCACACGTAAGATGTCTCCCTTGTGGAAGCTCAGCTGTCCGGGGCCGGTAGCTAGATGGTGGCACAGTGCCTGCACCTCGCTGGACAAACAACAAACAGAGGTTAGACAAACTCCACCAAAACGCACACCCTGCTCCTTAGCCTCCCACCTTGCCCCCAAACCACCACGTTCCAGGGCTCACCATGGAGGCTTGGAAGGTAGGGCTGGAGCGTGGGGCTCTTGTGGGCTCTCCTTGGACTCTGGCTCTCGTCGGGCCCCCATCGTCTGTGCCACTAGTTGAAACACGGACTTGTCCAGGCTCAGCCAGTCCGAGGGCAGCCTAGGGAAGCAGGAGCCAATGTGCATGTCTACCTGGGGCCTGGCCTCGATCAGGCTCCCCATTTCCACCTACTCCGTGGGCTATGGCTTACTTGTTTGTGGGCCGGGTCTCCCGCTGAGCTTTTCGGGAACCAAAGAGGTGTCCCCACTTGATGCCTGCAGGTGAAGGCTCTGAGGTCTCTTCCTCATTTTCTGCTGGGAGCGCAATGGGCGCCTCCCTCTCCCGACTACGCCTCAGCTCAGCCAGCACAGAGTCAGGAGGGCTTCCCATCCAGAAGGGCCAGCCCCTGTCTCGGCCAAGGACCTCCTCAGGGGCTGAGCACGCCTCGGCTCCCTCCACAACTCCCTCTCGAGGAGGTGGTGCCTGGGGAGGCCCCCCGCCTCCTGCCCCTTTCTTTTTCTCACTGCTGCTGCCACTGCTGCTGTTGCTACCACTACGAGGGAACCTGGAACCTTCCATGGAGCCGTCAATGTAGACCTGGGAACTCTGCATGAGCTGGTACCACCAGCCGGCCTGCCCACCTCGTGCCCACCTGCCGTGTCCTGAGCCCCCAGGTGCCTCTGCCACCTCTTCTGTCTCCTCTTCTTCTTCTCCACCTTCTGGGGCACCCACTCCCTTTACCCGCTCCCCATGGGCAGTTCTGTCCATATCTCCAGGGCCCTCCTGGCCCCGGGTCCGGGCCAGCTGGAGTGTTGAGTGGGCCGACAGCAGCAGGTCCTGGGACACCCGCAGCAGCTCCTTGTGCTGCTGCTGCTGCTGCCCACTTTGCAGCAGCCGGTGCTGAAAGAGCAGGTCCAAGCTGAAGGGCAGCAGGGCCAGGGGCTGGAGCAGCAGCAGCAGCTCCTCAAAGAGGCCGGGGCACACGGTGTGAGCTGCACTCAGGAAGCCCCATGGCTGGTAGTGGGTCTGGATGATGTCTAAAGGAGAAAGAGAGAGGGACTGATTCCCACAGAGCAGCACAGTCGGACCTGAGCGTGTGACTCTGAAAGGCATCCTGCACAGTGCATGGCACCGGCTGTGCGCTCTCTAATGTATGCAGGAATGGACACGATGCTTCCTCAAATGGTACAGTGCATAAACCCCGCCACTCTAAGGGGCAGCCCTGAGCTCAGGGGAGCTGACTTCCACACTGCCCAGGCATCTGATGGACCCTGAGGCTCTAGTTGGGGAAGGATTTGTGTGGAAGCTCAAAGCTTAGAGGACACACTGGTGGGGTCCCCTTTCCCACCTGCAGCATTGGAAAAGAGAGCTGTGTCTGCCCCCATGTGTTTGAACCTCTAAGATTTGGGATCTACAGACAGGGCAGGTTTCTGAGCATTACCTTCATGGTTATAGAGGTGGTTAAACCAGAACTCCAGAGACCGGATGCTGTAGGGAGACAGGAGAGTTGAGTTTTGTGTGATACTGATATAGCTGAATAATGAGGTATGAAGGAGACAGATAAGGGGGTCAGACATAAGGCTAGAGTACAGATGAACACCACCCTTTGATGACAAACGTGCTATCTGTTCTATTTCATATAACATAATTCTAGATGGGTGGAACAAGGTGGTGAACGTATGGTTTATAGACCAAGCACTTCTTAGAATGGAGCTGGCTTGCATAAGATCTAAGAAATCAGGGTAGCTCCACAGTGAGAGTACAGGGCTAGAGTCCAAGGAAATGACCGGGGCACCTTACTTGAGAATGATGAGGACAGGTATGCATCACTTAACACCCACCTGGACAACTTCTGACCTCATACATATCCATGTTCACAGAAGGTTTAGTTTTTAAAGGAAAGGTAACTCTCCTTTTGTTATTTCCTCTAGTGGTTTTAAAGCTTCCCAATCCAGACTTGCAGCACTGGACCGTGGGTGGGATATAGGTAGGTGAAGCAGAGGGCATTGTTCTGGGCACTGGCTCACCTGCTCTGTCCAATGGGCTACATACATTCTGTTTCCGGGGTCACCCTCTCAACTGCCTTTGCTGCCAGCCCCCATTCCTCTGGTCTCTAGCAGCAGCACACAGTAGTTAGGGAAACTGGAAGCAAGGGCTTTATTACGGTGTTCAGACAACATCCAAAGCACATGATGTCCTATTTTACAGAATGGATCGTGGACATTAAGCAGTGCATACCTGTGCTACAACATGGGTCCCTAGGTGGATTTAGGGTCAAGCAGCATTTGGAAGCATTGCGGGAATTAAGGATCAGAGCTTACAATATAAGGAGAAACCAGATTTATCCTCAACTATGCCAGATTATGGATTTGTATAAAACAGAAGGCCACACTGATGATGCACGCTGGAGGGTTGTGAGGGCAGTGGGAAACCAGAGATCGACTGAGAATGTAGGTAGGTGAGAAGGAAGTGAGCCTGTGTCCTGGCCGCAGATCCTCCAGATGCATCCCTACTGTCTCAGTCTAGGGAGCTGGAGCCCCGGTTAGAGGGCCAGCCATTGGCAGACCTTGCTGCCCTCCACACTCACTTGAGCAGGCCGAGGATGAAGGCATTGAAGCGCATCGTATGACTGGTGAGCTCTGGGAACTGGCTGACTTTGTTGCAGAGGCCATGGAGGACCTTGGTGGATGGCCCTGAAAGAAAGCCAGGGTTGGTGGTCAAGTGACCCTAAAATTCAGCAGAGCAACTCCTACTTCCCCATCCATCACTTACCGAGTTGTGTGGAAGCCTCAACCACACTCCACGGCATGTTCTTACGCTGCCCAATGATGACATCCAGCACGAAGGCCTTGAGCCCGTCCTCCAGCACAGCTTGGACCGCAGGGCACAAGTACTTCAGAACTAAGTGGCCTACGTTGGGGCTCACAGAACTGTTTCCCAGTTTTGCCTGTCAGTACAGACAGGAAAATGAAAGATCATTTGAAGTCTGATCTCGGACCCTCAGCCTTCATGAACCCCTCTTGCCATCCTCATCCCAAAGTACCCTACTCTTGAGTTCCAAGTGCAAGAGAGTCCAGAATAGGTGAGGGTGTGCAGGGTAGGGATCACCTCTCCACATTTCTTGCCTACCTTTACCCCAGGATCTCGGCTTGTCCCAAAATGGGCAACAATGAGGTCCACGGCAGTATTGACAGCTTTTACCAGTCCTGCAAGCAAGATTTAATGTGTCAGGACCCAGAGCATGTCCCAGCCAACTCAGCTGGAGATTAGGGAAAGGGAAGGAGTTTGCAATTACTGAATCTGCACCTAGATCTCATCAAGACATTCAACCTGTGGTCCTTTGTCCAGTTTTCAAACTTTCCCTGTTTTCATCTCCCAGCCCTGACCCACCCTAATAATAATATCCTTCTCAAAACCCTCTAATTCCTCATTTCCTTGCCCTCTTAACCCAGTCCTCAATCAATGCAACCAACAGTCTTCTCCACTGTCAGATACGAGGCCACTAACTGCTGCTGGAGAAAATCTAGATTCACTCACACCAATGCAGATGTTGTTATGTGCTGTCGAGTTACCTGCAAGCAGTTATTATTTTTTTAAATTTAATTTTATTCTTTTTTTTTTTCAGTAGGGGAAAGCACACACAGAGTCCCTCACTACCACAGATTATGCAGTCAAGTTTCCCAACTTGGGGAACTTGCAGGGGTCAGCACATCTGGAGAGCAAAGGATAAGCCTCTGAGGGCAATTCTTCAAATGGCCCTCGTCAGCAGCCTTAGACCCAGGCCCCAGCTGGCATTCCATACCTCTCCTCTTCCTCTCAGGCTCTTAGTTCTACCACCTCCTTTCCTATTCTCCATGATTTTACTTCATGATTTCCTTTGACCTCCCTGTCTTCCTTAAAAACATATTTATATTATTATGTCCATCCTATTTCCCTCCTTCCTGCCTTTTCATCTTAGAGGAAGGCGAATGTTCCTTTTCCTGTTTAGTTTTTCCCTTTCTCAAGTTTTGGGTCTCCCACTTTGCCTCTGCAAGGAACCTCAGTTTCATCTGCAGACCTTCTTTTTCACATACTCTTCCCCTGCAGCCACCACGATGCTCAGCTCTTTTGCCATCCTTTCACTGAAACTACTCTCTTCAGTTTGCTAAATGGTTTCTTGTCAATTCTCCTTTTAGTAGATGTTATCATCACATTTACCCATGTCCCTTGTCTCTCTAGGACCTGGAGTGGCTTCTAGTAGAGTAGCTGAAATTTGTTTGCCAATGATTTCGCTTGTGAATTTAGTTCACTGAGAGAGCTAAGGAGAAGGAATTGAGTTCTAATTCTGAAAGCATCTGATAAATGATCCTTGGTCATCACGCATACAACATTCAGTATAAAGACATCTACCTTTTGCCGCAGTGTCTGAGCTCTCCTGTCTAACACACTCGAGGGTTAGATAGTAGTAGGGCCACAGATGTGACTAGGGGAGTGACAGTAGAATCCCTGTCTTGAGCTAGGAACTACATTACCTTTTTTCTGAAGCAGGTCTATGGAAATGGCCTCTGAGTTTCCATCTGGGGACAGACAAAACTCAGCTGGAGGCTTTTCAGTCAAGGAAAAGGGGTCTTGGAAGTCAGGGCAGGTCAGTGGCAAAGGCTTCACTACGTGTCCTGGAAAGATAGAAAAATCAACCTCAAGCAACTCTTCCAGTTGTGTGCCTCATACCCTCTGAGACACGCTCACTCAGGGCTAACTCCTTCCATCCTTTCCAGCTGCAGTACTGCTGGCTTTAGGTGCATTGGGAATCCTGCCCACGTACCGTTCAGGCGACAGTTCAGATGGCCAGCAGCACCAAGAGAACCAGGGAACTCAAAGATGGGGTTTCTTCGGGCCAGCTGAACCTCCTTTGGCCTTCGATCTAGGCTTCCTGCCAAACCAGGTGGCCCCAGTGGGTTCTTCCTCCTGTATTCCCTCCATTTGAGTGCTTGAGGGGACAAGTGGTTGGCTGGAAGCAGACAGAACAGCAGGAGAGTTAGGTGGAGAGAGCATATCTTACCCACCCCACGGACCCATATAAAATACAAGAGTTGGCAATATGAACTCAGATGCTGGGGGTGGAGATGCAAATACTCTGAAACTCTGATCCCGGGTTAGAGTACAAGAAACTCTTTCAAAGGCAAGGTAGAAGCAGCTTGAGGGGTAGAGGGTGGAGCTCATACCATTATTGGGCCTGGAAGCCATGTTACCCTCACCGCCTGTTCGGACCAGGCTCTCTGCTCGGCTGAGGCCAGATCTCCAGGAGCCGAGAGGTGGTAAGCTTCCTGTTCCATGGAGCCGGTACTCAGCCAAGGTCAGTATCTTCTGATCCTCCCGTGGTTGCTGAGAGGTAGCAGGTCGGGCGGCACGAGGACAAGAGTGGCTCCATAGGGGTGGGCTTTCTGTGGCTGTGGCCTGCTCTTGGGGAGGGGAGCACGAAGTGGAGGCAGAAGAGTCAGTGCTGGGCCCAAAGGGGCCAGCGCTCCGGATGGGAGAGTAGCTGCCCAGTGGGGATGGCCGTGAGGTCTCCGGCTCAGGCCCAGCTTTCCTGGCACCTCTGTCAGCAGCGTTTTGGGAAACGGATGTCAGGGATTCTCGGGAGGAAGCTGGGGCTGGGACTTGAGCAGCAGGGGCAGCCAGAGAGATGGGCTGCTGTGTGCGGCTGCACCCGGAGAGGCTGTAGAGCTGGGACAGGCTGTGGAGCGCCCGAGCCTTGGCCAGCTGCTTGGGGAAGTGGTGCTGGAACACGAAGGGTTGGATGGGCAGCGTAGTAGGTCTCTGCTCCTTGCTGTAGCGAAGGACTGGTCGGCTCTCAGCACCACCCCCTGGATCAACAGGGATGGAGAAGGAATCAGATACAGACACTGAAATCTGCGGGAAGCAGAGGCAAGGGACAGGAAACATGCCTACTGGGAAAGGGGAAGAAAAGCGTGGCCTGGGTTGTAAAAACTGAATGAATGGGATAGGAGTAACCCAGGCATGACACTCTTCTCCTTTTTGAAAGCTTTTCCTAGAGTGTGTGGTGGTGTTTTTTTTTTTTTTTTAAACTTTATTGTCCTATACCTCCTGGCCTTCAGTTCTTCTTCATTTCATTGACTCTCAGTAAAGGTGGGTAAATCTTAAGGGTCAACTATTACATCTCACTTTACACCTCTTCCCTTGTGCGGCCTAAATTCAAACTTTCATACAGCTTATCTGCAAACCCACAGCTGAATTCTGAACATCCTCCTGATCTCAAGACAATTCTTCTATTTTCAACAGTTCACCCACAGTCTTTCTCATTTTTCCCTGATGACTTCCATTTCTGTCAATCGCTGAATCACCACTTTCTGTTTCCAAGGCCTAAACACTTGGAGTGATGGGTTTTCACGCCATGAAATTTTGCTCATCATCCTTTGCCTTTTCTCAAGAAGGCACATTTTCATCTTGGGAAAATATAACCACAGTAAACTATTTACTCGAAGGCAGCATCAGCTTTTCGATCATTCCCTACCCCTTACCTCACCCATGCCTTTCATGATTCTGTTCATGGAAACTTCCTAGCTGCTTTCTGTGCAGATCTATGTTCCTTCCCCAAGACTGGACCTTCCTGTTCTTTCAGCTAACCTTCTGATCGCTACGGGGCACGGAACTAAACACAAAACTCCGGACACTGCACCGCGGAGACTGGCTTTGTATGCGCACTGTGCTTCTAACAAAACATCACACTCCCTGTAAACATGCCAATGAACGTGAGGTGGTGCTATACACATTCACGTGACCCCAAACCCCAGAGGTGGCGCCAGTGCCTCAGAGTCCTTTCTAGAGGTATCAGGAAATTTGAAATTTAGAGAGATTAAGTGATTTTCCCAAGGTGGTAATCCAGAAACGGCACGGCCTGAATCTTTGCTCACCCCGAGTTTGACTTTAGGGTCAATGTTCTTGTAATACGACATTGTACATGAAATAAGGTGGCAGGACAGGCTTCCCTAGCCTTCATCTTTTCCCAGTTCACATCAGTGAGTCTGAGGATGATGGGGGATCACAGCCTCATTTGAGGGGTGTTTCAGAATCACTTTCTGGGGTCATTTTCAAACTCTACCCTCCTGCCATTCTCCTAGTCACTGCAGAGACAGCAAACTTTATCATCTTTCATCATTCTCCCTTGGTCACTAAGCTCCAATCATATTTCCTGTCCTTAAAACATTCAGATACCTGCTCAACTCCTCAGCAAGACCTCTGGCCTCCTTGTCCAAAATGGTGTCTGCTCAACCCTCTGGCAAGTCACTATCCCACTGTCCATCTGTTTTCTTTTTAGGCATTCTTACCAGCATAAATTATTTTATGAGTTAATTGTCTACTACTCCTACAAGAACTCCCCTATATCGTCTGTGCTTAGAACAAAGACTGGTACATTCTAGGTACTTGACAATGGTAGAGGCATTATCTCAATTTGTTTCCTGATGCCTTCAATAAAATGTCGTGCAAATGTTTTTGCTTTTTCACTGCAAGTAAAAGTTATTTTACTCTATACTTTAGTCTACCAGGTGTGCAACAGCACCATGAAAAAGTGTGAACTACTCCAAGAGGTACCAAAATGTACACAGAGATATGACATGAACACATGCTGCTGGAAAAAGTGCACCAATACGCATGCTCCATGCAGGGTTGCCACAAACCTTCAGTTTGTAAAAAATACAACATCCAGAAGTACCATAGAGCAAAGTGCAATAAAATGTGATATGCTTGTATTTGTTATATCTCCACTGTCACTTCTGGTTCAGGATAGTCTTGCTGCATCCACAATAAAAGAACAGTTTTGATTTGTCCCCCCATCTATCCCTCGTATCTTCAGTGTAAAGGCCAATCTTTCCAGTCAGGCAAGTGCCTACATGTGACACAAATGAGTCTGCCCTCTCCTTGGGCTTCTACACCTGCCATCCTCATTCACTTGACCCTTTCCGCCCTATCCCGATCTTTCAGCACACTGCATTTCCTACTGGGACTGTCTCCTTCCTGTCCACTTAGTCTGTCATTTATAGGGCTGGAATGATCCTGGCTGTTCCCAACACAGCTTTATTATACCCTCTGTATAAACTATGTCTGAATTAGACTATTCATTGCCACTCTTCTAAAAATCCTCCCTGCTAAGTTCCCAGAATAGGTCTTGGATAGAGGAACAAGACCAGAGAAGAAGGGAGAATCACTGTGTGCAATGGGCCTTAGTTCTGCCCTCGGGGAATATACAGAGAATAGTTTTTCACTTTTCTATGTGACAGACCTTAAGGAGACTGGAGACCGAGACCACAGTCACCTGCGTTTGATCTGCTCTAGTGTATAATCTCCAGGTGTTCAGCTCCTGCTTTGAGGGGTTTGCCCAGAATGGGACACTTTAGGCCCCAGGTGAGCACTACGTGGTTGAGAGGAGCTGGGGTCTGTCAACTCCTCTCTGGATTCTATAAAGGAATCTAGTTATATTTGCTTTTTGGAAACCCTTCTATAATGCAAACTCATTCTGAACTTGCAATCAATTCAATATCCCAAATCAATTCAAGTATAGCTCACATATCAAGCTTCAAACTGGTCCCTATTTTATTCTTTCCAGGTTTGGTAAGACTCTTTTTAAGCTTTATTCTGCCACCAATGATCTCAAAGAACTGTCTAAACTTTTTATTGTCATTCCCAGACTAGATGAACCAAAGTGTTGTCTTTTTTCACTCAATTTTGATTATGGAAAAAAAAGTTGTACAGAAGAGCCCTCTCCCTTGAGGCTTAAGAAACATCTTAAGTATCTCAGTATAAAAGAATCTTATCTGACAGAAAAAAAAATCCAAAAAACCCCCAACCTTTTTTTTTTTTAAATATTTTATTATATGTGTACTTTCAAATCTGATCAGACTGGTACAGGAGGAGATTGCCCCTCCTTCTCCAGCAGAGTATCTGGTGGAGTCAAACCATGTGCCTCTGGGATTGCAGTGCAGCTTCTTGCCACTAGGCCACCAGAGCTCCCTCAAAACCCCCAACTTTTAAGGCTTCACTCATCTCTGAGCAGCATTGTTCTGACCTCAGAATGCCTGTGTCTATGTATATCCACCAGTCACTGCGGTTTGAGGAAGCAGGGTTAGAAGCTTGCTCCCCTTACCCCAATGTGCGCTCCCTTCTGCAGATTTAGAGGTATGAAAGCTTCTGATTCATTTCCTACTGTCTTTCTTTCTGGCAAATTCTTCTTGGTCTCTCTCCTCTGCTCACACCTTAAGTAAGCTCTGTCCTTGTTTTCTTTTATAATGCCAGACACTCGCCCTGGATGCTTTCATCCCCTTCCATGGCTTCAACCATCACTTTTATTCAATTGACTCTCAGATCTATAGAGTGGTCTCCAGACCTCAAGGTTAGACTCCTTCTAACCATCTTCTCCTCTAACAGCTGAGTGACCATTCAAAAATGCAAATCAAGCAAGCCACGAAACTGTTAGAAATGAACAAAAACGCCACTTCCCATTTAAAATCTTTAAATGGTTCCCTCCCCACCCCAGTATGGCTATATATGGCTATACTGAATCACTTTTAGGTCCTGGATTGCATCAAGCTATATTCTCTTCCTCACTGGCTTTGCATAGGCTATCCTAGGAACCTAAAACATTTTCCTCCCATTTCTCCACAAAATCTATTCATAACCACCTTTTTGAGCTGTATTCACACTTAACATATGTCAGCAGTCCTTTCATGACACTTAAGAGTGATTTAGATATTTCTACCAAAGCCCTATGTCCCACCATTTCTTCCTTTTTGGTGTCTGTCTTTCATTTCTATCTTTAGCCTGAGTTCCTTGAAGGCAGAGACTGTCTCCATCACCAGTACCCATTTCTGTGTAAAACAGAATTAAATTAGTCACATATTTATAAAGAAAAGTCTGGTCTAAGAGGCCTCTCGGAGTTTAAAGGCAAAATGTCAAGTCTCAGGCTTTTTGAAGAATGGTTACCATCACTGGTCAAAGAATGAATGTCACAGATACAAAATGTGGTTAGTATGGTGGGATGATGACTCCTTGGCTGCACCTGAAACATTGCAAATTCCTAAAGGTTCAAAACTGAACTCATATTTTGTCTCCCTTTCAGTAAATCTACTTTTGTGTTTACAGTTCCTATTCATAGCATTATCATCTTTCCAGTCATCCAGGCTGAGACTCCTAATCTAAATCCTTCCTTTCCTGATGTACCAGTCTCAAAGTCTTACTGAGTTTTTATCTCCTCAGTGTATTTGTCATGCTACCCCCTTTCCTTAATTTTAACTGTAGGTCATAGTCTAAAGTAGAAAGATGATAGCTCTAGACTGAAGAGCCTTTAGGGGTGTGGACAGGGTGCTTGGCAGGGTCCTGTCATTGGAAGACCATGCCCAGAGCCTGGCACTCTTCAGCCCCTAGGTTCCTTACCGTCAGCTCTAGCTCTTGCATCCCTCTGGATATGGCTGTTGGCTGGGTTCCCTGGAAGAGCAGGCCCTGGGTCCATCAGCTGAGCCAAAGGGCCTTGCCCAGCAGCTCTCAGGCCAGTAGGTGACATCTCACTGGAATGGGGATCCTGGCAGACCTGTGTGGACCAGGGCTCTGGGCCAACTAGGTCCATGCTTGGCGCCAAGGGCATAGGTGGTAGGCTATGGCTACAGCGAGTGCCCTCCTCTGGTGGGCCCACCTTATCTTTCTGGGCTTCTTGGATGGGTGAGAACTCCTGCGAGGAGTCTCCAACGCTCACCCGAAGTTGGGGAGACCCAGAGGCTGAAGCTTTCTTCCTGCCCTTAGCCAGCTCGGCAAAGGAGGTGACCCTCTTTGGTGGGGAGCTAGACCCAGCAAGGGCTGCAGGCCCCTCACTTAGGCGCACTGGGCAACTTAGCATGCGCTCGAGTGAGCTCAAGCGGACAGGAGGGCTGCGTTCCAGGCTGCGATCATAGCTTCGAGAGCGCTGACGTCCAGTGCTGAGGTTGGGAGGTGAAGTATTAGTGTACACTTGCCCCTCCATCACAGTTGGGCCCATGGCAGTTGCTGCCTTTGCTGAAGAACTCACTGTTTCTTGTTCCTCTGCCTGGACTTCTGGCTTCTGAAATAGGTAATACTCAGCGGGCTGGCTGGGGCCTGGGTCTGGGCCAGGACCTGGTGCAGGACTTATCTTTGTATTTTCTTCTGAGCAGCTGGTGATGGAAGAGCCAGCGGGGCTTGGGGAAGACTGGGAAGACAGGTCACAGGTGACAAGTTTATAGTAATTCTGTGTGGCCACAACAAGACGGGCCTGGCTTTGAAAGCAGGCTGTGAGGTCAGCCACAGCTGGGCAGGGCTCACAGTGCGGGCGGTAGGAGTTGCAGTTGGCATCGAGCTCAGGAGATGAGGCATGAGGGCAGCCATAGCCTCCTTCCCGTTCTCCACTGTCAGGGTGGTGGGACTCACAGGACATCTTAGACTCAGCTGGCGAGGGCTGGAGGTCCAGGTAGAAGGCGCCAGGGTCTGAGTGGCTACAGAAGGAGGAGTCACTGCAGGACTGTGGGGCCGAGTTGAGGTTGGCACGGGAGTTGCCATGCATTTTGTTGTAGAGGGTGCTGAAGGTGACCAGCACCCCATCTGAGCTGTTGCAGGAGGAGTCACTCACGTAGCCCATGGACTGGTCCGCTGCCTCAGACTGGCTGGATGTGCTGCTGCAGCGGCAGTGCTGGGGACCCGAGCCTGAGCATCCAGTGTTCCTTGGGGATTCATCTGAACTGAGCTTCCATTCCTGGTCAAAGGAAAAGCCAGAGGTATCACTGGCTCCACCCCCACTGCCACTCCCTCCTGGTCCCCCACACTCATCCAGCTCCATGGTCTCCGCTTCGAGCTCTGGCCTGCAGCAGTGACTGATGCTGCAGTGCTGGGTGTCCACAGTTGTCACAGGCTCCTGTTCCTGCCCCTCCACCACTCCAGCTCGGCTGCGTGTTGCTGCCCATGGCCTGCCCATTCCAGAGCCAGGTGGTGGTAGCTGGAAGGAGGACAGACGGAAGGTCGGCTGACCAGCTCCATGAAGATGGAAGGACTGTTGGGTGGCACTGTCACCAATGCTGTCGTCATAGAGGTCACCAAGTCCTGGTTCACCTACACCCTCCTGAAGCAAGAAGGGATTGTGTCGCTTAGGGGCCCCAGAGCCTCGTCCATCCCGACCCCTAGTCTTGGTGTTATCTGCAGGCCGTGCTGGTCCCCCAGGGGCAGAGTGCAGACTGTTGTAGAGCAAAGAGTCAGCTTGTCCTAGGTCTTGATCAGGCTGGGTGATGCCCAACTCAGATGGGCAGAAGGGATTCGGTCTTGTGCTCCCACTACCTCCACTCGCCCCGACACAGCACTGCCTGTCTGGGACTTGACAATGTACCAATGGTATGTGATGGACGATGAGTGTCTCTCCAGTCAGCTTTGGGGGACTATCCATTCTGGAAAGTTCGAACAAGGGCATCACCAGCACCAGACACTGCCCCCGGAGCCCAGTGGGGAAAAACACATTTCATCAGGAGAGCTTGGCACCTGGAGAGAGAGGGAAAGAAAGGGAACCTACCGTCACCTTCCTGGAAGTCAGTGACATGGCCTTCAGCATATTATTTTTAGATGAGGGAGCGCTCAAGAGGGGACAGCTCAGTCAGGATGGGGCTCTGATAACACCGTCCTATCGGGCAGGTGGAAGCCCACCACTGTACTCTGCATTTTAGAGGACCGGCTTTTGATCCCCTTCATTTTCAGTTATACTCATTCATTTGTGACAAAAGGCCAGGCGTCTTTTAATGCCGCAGATTCAGGTGTCTGAGCACATTATAGACAAGGACAGTACTTTCCCCTTCTCTTTCAAAAACTCTGGCCTTCTAGAAAAGGAAACTGTAAGAATATAAGAAAAGTACAAATACTAACAGCACTAAGGAAAAAATATCTCAGATATCTAAAAGTGCCGGCACTGGAAGAGCCCATAGAGATGCTTCAGGCAGTCATAGCATGTTAAGTTTACAGACTAGGGAAAAATCACAAATCTCACAAAATCTCAAAGTACAAATTTTTCCAAGAAAGGTATTTTGAAATATATCACTTGGCAGTTGCCACCTCTGATGCTCTTTACCTAAGCTCCCCAAAACGTGTGTCTCTCTGATTGGTTTTAGGCTAAATATTGCTACTATATCCATTACTAGAGCTTCTTGAGGGAGCTCTTGTGGATTTAGTGGTAAGGAATTGTGCTGCCAATGCAAAGGTGCATGGTTCGAATCCAATAGCAACTCTGCAGGAGGATGGGCAATCTCTTCCTGTACAATTTACTGCCTCTGAAAACCCACCAGAAGGTCAGCTATGGGTTGGTTCTGACTTGAAGGTACACAACAACACAACAGAGATTCTTGAATGCAGAGACAGAGCTGAGCATGAATGACTGCAAGAATGGCTGATGCCAACCTCTGCTCTGTAGGTAGATGGGGCTATTTTTATTTCTTTGTATCACTCTAGCACAAGCTAATAGAAAACCTGGTAGACACAGAGGTACACTGCATTTTTACTATTTGTTTGGCTCAGGGGACAGACCTCCAGAGATAGGAAAATTCTGCCCCGCTTCAGTCTTCACTACTGGGAGCCTCTAGAAACAGTTTTCTCCCCTTAGCTTTACGCTGAGAGGCTAAAGTGTTCTCTTGTTCAAAGTATCCTAGTCCCAAGGATACAGAGCCCATGTTAAGCTTCTGTAGTTACTAGTCTCTTGGTCAAACTGTGGCAGTATGGCTTCCTTGATGTCCAGTCATCTGCGCTTCCAAGCTTGGATCCCAAGAGTCTTTATGCCCTCAAAAGTAACAACTCCTCATTGCATCAAGGTGGAACAGATTAATAGCTGACCCGCAGGTGGGTTTTCAGAGGCAGTACACTGCACAGGAACCTCCTGTCCATCCTTCTCTCTGGGGGCAGATGGAGGATCTGCCACCTTTTGGTTGCTAGTGCAATCCTCTAGCCACTAGCCCCCCAGAGCTCTCACAGACTCCCTCAGACACTCCTGTCGAGTTTCTCCTAATTAATTTCTCTCCCTTTCCTTTTTATTCTTATTATTGTCTTCTTATGCACCTTGAATTTAAATCCCCAACTATCTTTCTTTTATATATCATTTAGCTGAATCTTTGACATTCCAATTTCTTAAAATTTCATTCATTTAGAACATAGGACCATAGTTATTTGAAGTACAGTAAAGGGCTAGGCCATTCACATATGCTTAAGGGAATGGACAATACATATGAGGAAAAATTCAAATGGCTAATTAAATATATGTGTGAGGGACAAAGTTTTAAAACAATATTATGTACATGAAATAAAATGAGATGAAAATGAAAGCATAAATAGTTACAAGCTTTTCCTTTTCTCCTTTTTAAGAGGAAGGCTCTGTGTTGGATTTCTAAGTGTTAGTGTGCTGACCAAATTAATAGGTGGAGATGGAGAAGAGGCAGAAATTAGAGAGGCTAAACTGAGCTACAAGATTAAAGATTCTAGAAAAAAAAATAGGTGCAAAACTTTTTGATCTTGCATTAAGCAATGGTTTCTGAAAAATGGCACCAAATCATAAAACAAAAGAAAAAGTGAACAACGTTTGGGTTTCAATGGATAAAGAAAGTGAAAAGACAAATGCTATCATGGAAGAAATTATTTGCAAATCATATCTGATAAGGGATTTCTATCAAGTGTATATACACACGCGCGCGTGCGTGCACACACACACATACATACATACACACACGTATATCTGTATCAGTTAGTCATTGCCATCAAGTCATAACTGACTCATATAGTCAGCTATGAGTCACAGCCGACTCATAGCTGACCCTCTAGTGGGTAGCTGGTAGATTTGAACTGTCTGCCTTTGGGTTGGGAGTGGAGCTCCTTACCTACTCGATCATTAGATCGATCTCTCTCTCTCTTATCTATCTATCTATCTATCTATCTATCTATCTATCTATCTATCTATCATCTATCTATCTATCTATCTATTATCTATCTATTATCTATCTATCTATCATCATGTTGCTGTGTACCATCAAATTGGAACTGACCCACGGCTGACCCTCCAGTGGATTTTCAGCCACCAGACACATACACATACACCCCACACACACACCCCCAAACCCACCCACCCCATAATATAAAAAGTTCAATTAATATGGGCACAGGATTTGAAGAGATACCTCCCTAAAGAAGGTATGTTGTTGTTGTGTACCTTTGAGTCAGAGTCGACCCATAGTTGACCCTTAAGCAGGTTTTCAGAGGCAGTTTAATAGCCCAGGAAATTACTCATCTTTTTCCTGTGGAGCAGGTGATGGATTTGAACTGTGTGCCTTCAGGACTGCAGCACAGCTCGTTACCACTAGGTCAACAGAGCTCCCTAAAGAAGATATACAAATGGCAATAAGTAGATGAAAAGTTTCTCCATATGATTTTCATTTTGTTGTTGTTATGTGCTGCTGAGTCAATGACAATTCATATTAACCCTATGAACAATTTCTCTGAACCTTGCTCTATCCTGAGTCAGTATCACCATCTCTGACATAGCTGATTTTACCGCCAACGTCACTGAGTCAATCCATCTCATCCAGGGTCTTCCTCTCTTGCACTGTCCCTCCATTATCATTGCATGATGTCCTTCTCCAAGGATTGGTCTCTTCTGGGAGCCTGCCCAAACTATGTGAGACAGAGCTTCAAAACCCTTGCCTCCAAGGAGTAACCTGATTTCACCTTTTCTAGGATAGACTTGTTTGTACTCTTGGCAGTCAATGGTATGTTAATCATTACTAAAAACGACAATCAGATACCATTTCACATCTGCTAGAGTGGCACTAAAATCAAGAAGTCAGAGAACAAGTGTCGGTGAGGATATGGAGAAACTGGAACTCTCATACATTGCTGAGAGGTTTGTAAAATGGTTCAGTTAGTCTGGAAAAGCCTTGAAATATAAAACATACGTGTTATCACATGATCTAGCAAGTCTACTCCTAAGTCTATATCCAAGAGAAAGAAAAACTAATGCTCACACAAAAAACTTCTATAGCAGCAACAGTTACAATGTTTAAAAAAAGGGACGCCACTCAGAAGTCCATCAGCGGATAGATGAATAAACAAAACGTGATATATTGATGCTATTGAATGCTATTCAGAAATGAAAATAAGTACTGATATGTGCTACAACATAGTTGGACCTAGGCAAGATTATGTTAAGTGCAAGAAAGCAATCAGAAAATCATATAAAATATCAATATCATAAATGACATTCCATTTATATGAAATATTCAGGATAGGCAAAGAGCAGATTAGTGGTTGTCAGGGCTGGAGGAACAGGAGTTACCAATAATGAGCAGGGGACTTCTTTTTGGGGTGATAAAAACTCCCACAAAACAACAATCTGAAATTAGACAATGATGGCTACACAATGCTGTGAATATAGTATAGAGGTGGGTTCTGGTGGTAAGAAGCTGTGCTACAATCCCAAAGACATGAAGTTCAAATCCAGCTGCTCTGTGGGAGAACGATGGGCAATCTCCTGCCATGTGACTGACTACCTGCCTCTGAAACCATCTAGAGGGTCAGCTATGGACTGGTTCTGACTGATGGTACACAGCAACAACAATGGATTTTAAAAGAGTGAATTTTATGCATGTGACTAATATAGAAATAAAAACGTTCTTTTTTTAAACGAAGGAAAAAAGATTTATGGGAAGAAGGCAGAAGGGGTGAGGAAGAGACTCAGATTTTCAACAGTGAAGGTATTTTCAGAGATAAAGTGAGGGAGCTCTGGTGGCCTAAGGATAAGAAGCTGTGCTGCAATCTCAAAGGTGTGGGGTTCAAATCCGCCAGCTGCTCCATGAGAGAAGGATGAGCAATCTATTCCTGAGTGATTTACTGCCTCTGAAAACATGATGAAGGATCAGCTATAGGTCAGCTCTGACGTGACAGTACTCAACAACAACAACAACAACAGAGACAAAGTGAGAAAGAGAAAAGACAGGAGCAGGTGCCTTCAAAGATGGATTGTGTAGAAATAATTTTTAAGAAGCATTGCTATTAAACTCATGGAGACTCTCCATCAAGATCCCAAGGCTGTAAATCTTTATGGGAGGACAGCGCCTCATTTTTCTCCTAAAAAGCAGCTGGCAGATTGGAACTGTTCACCTTTCAGCTCAACACATAACACATATCAGATAATTTTCCCTTCATTCCTTCTCATTTTCTTCACCATGAAAGTTTTGTACTACCACTTTCAAGAGGCATTCAAAAGCAGACACAATAAGCTTATTATCTGACCGATAGCTTGCCTATAATTTGGGCATACATAAGTCACAGACAGTTTGCAATGCTGATCTCCTAGACCACATATGGAGAACCAGTGTAAATGGGAGCTAGTTAAGGGGTCTTCAGCTGAAGGGCACCTACAGCTGCATTATAATGTTATATATCTGTCTCCAGGTCAAGAACACAGCTCCTTGAGGAACTCTGTTCCCAGAGCCCACTACACAGTCCTTGAAATGCAGTAGGTGCTCAGTTATTTGTTTACTCTTACTTTAGGTATTTTAAAAAATCAGGTGGTTTGCCTTTTTATTTTTGATGTATAGGAGTTTCTTATTTATTTCTGGATAGAAGTCTTTGTTGGATATATGTGTTGTAAACATTTTCTCCCAGTCTTGACTTGCCTATTTGTTTTCTTAAAAAGGCTTTTAATGAATAGTGGCTTTAAATTTTGATGAAGTTCAATTCATTAGGATTTTTTTTTTAACTTTATGGTTAAAGTTTTCTATGTTGTGGCTGAGAAAGCTTTGTTTACCCTCAAATCATAAAGACATTTTCCTTCCAACACTTTCTAATAAAGAGGTTTGTAATTTTAGCTTTTACATGTGGGTTTGTGTTGAACCCTATTTTAAGTGTAAAATATTTTCATGTATTAATTTAATTCCATTTTATTTATCTGTATCTAAGAGAAGGCCTTATTCCTACATGATATCCATGCAACTAAGGAAATGCCCACTAATGGTCTGCCACAGAAAATTCCAATTAAAAAAAAAAAAAAAAGAAAATTCCAATTCAGTCAAATAAAGGGAAGTTTTGCTGGCGCCTCATGACATTTTGTTTTCATTCCTTGCTCCTGACATCTTCATATTTCTTACAAAGCAAGCCTGTCATTTTGTTGATCCTCATAACAAAAAGCCACAGCAGGCAGAGAGCCATTTTAGTTTTTTTTTTTTTTTTAAATGTACCTAGAAAAATGGAAAGACTTGCCCAGAATTAAGATAAGACTCAGGAATTCTAATTTTTTATCTCTTTTCTTGACAAGTGAAGGATGTAATAAAAATTATTTATATGATTTGATTTCAAGCACCACAGAGGGTATTTAATGAAAGCTTAACCTGGACTTGTTCCTGGGAGTGACATGCTCTTTATGAAGATAAGCTTAATGCTTTGGTTCTAACTTGAATAAAAATAAAAACAGTGAGACGGAGGTGCTCCTTCTCAACTATTTTGTACCATAATCGAATGGAAAGGCATGAGAGATGAAGCTGAGGAAGAAATTGGGGACAAAGAATAAGAAGAAAGCTGTTTCAGAAGATGAGGCTTCTAGTCATGCCAACTAGATAAACTGGGGAGTGGGAAGCTCAGTAGTGAGTGAAGTCTGAAGTCTCGCTCTCCAGATCAGCGATAGCTTTCCATGAGAACTCTTTTCCCTTGTCCAGTCCCAATAGGTTTATCTTGGCCTATCAGAGTAACGACATTCTTAATGATCATTTCAGAGGGAGGATTTACCTATCAGAGGGGGCTTTGCTGGTGTAGCCAGTAGGCACCTGTGCTGCTAACTCAGAGACAGCACCTCTCTTGGTTCAAATCCATGCGAGAAAGATGGACAATCTCCTCCTGTGCAATTTATAGCTTCAAAACCCCAGCGGAGGGTCAGCTATGAGTTGGTTCTGAGTGAGAGTAAGTACATGCCAGAAGGTTTCCATAGACCCATTGTTACTGAGTTGATCCTGAACGATAGCGAACCTACAGCACAAGGTAATCCAGTTTCCAAGGCTGTGATCTTTAAGGAGCAGCTGGTGGGTTGAAGTTCTGACATTTTCATTACCACATGACTGTTAACAGTGCTTGATCACTGCATCATCAAGGCTCTTCAATTTATAAACGTTGTTGTTGTTAGGTGGCATCAAGGTGACTATGACGCCTAGTGACCCTGTGAACAACAGATTGGAACCTTGCCGTATCCTCTTCACAATCTTGGAGAAGCTTGAATCCACTGTTAATGATACTGTGTCAATTCATTTTGTTCAGGGTCTTTCTCTGATCCTCTACCTTTCCCAACAATTTATGTACTGAATATCCCATGGACTGCCAAAAGAGCAAATAGATATGTCTTAGAGAAAGTGCAGCCAGAGTGCTCAAGGATGGTGAAGCTTCATCTTACATACTTCAGGCATGTTGTTAGAAAGGCCTGTTCCTTGGAAAGGGACATCATTCCTGGGAAGGTGGAGAGTCAGTGAAAGAGAAGACCCTGAACAAGATGGATGGACACAATAACTGTGGCAATGGACTTGAGTACGTCAGAGATGGTAAAGATGGCACAGGATAGCACAGGGTTCAGATCTGTTGTTCACAGGGTCTCTCTGAGGTCATATCCAATGGTACTTAACAACAACAACAACAACTCTAATTCCACTTGAAACTTTAAAAGAAGGCATAACCATTCCATCTTCCTCGAGAAAATAAAGCTGAATGTATTAATCGTTTGTCCACAATTACATAGCTGAGATAGGACTCAAAACCAGATCTGCCCAATATAAGTTCTTTTCACTACAATAACTACCTCCCAAAAGAAAACATTCAGGACCACACCCTTTTCCTAAAGTCCTTGCGTTTATCCTGCTGCCAGAGCAGCTGCTTCCTACTTCTCCTTAGCAGGCCTTTGCCCGAGGCCCCTTTGCAGTTTGTAACTACCCACTTCTGCTTGGATCTACAGTCCTCATCATACTACTGTCCCCATGCTCTAAAACACTCTTCAGTCCCGCCTCTTGCCCCAGTTCCCAGGCTCATTTTCCTGCCCTAGTCACAGACCTTAAGCCCCTTTTCCCTCCTCTATTGTTCACATTCCTAGATGCTTCCTGGAATCTAGCACATTCTCACAACTTCCCAATGTATTCCCCAACCACTCATTCGTACAATGTGGAACTACCGCCTCCTGTTATCAACTGTTTTTGAGTCATCCACCAAAGTGGTTAGTGGAAATGGGATTTTAAGGAACTCTTTTACCCTGCTCAGCAATAGAGAAATTGGGCAGGAAATATTCTAAAGAAATGCTTCCCCCTATTTTAGACACTAGTGTCTTTCAGTCAGGTATAGACCCCCATTTCTCTTATTTTTCTGTCTCCTAAATAAGAATAGAGCAATCTGACCTTGACTTGAGATTCTGTTCAGGAGCATGAATAGGGGTCCTTTCTTGAATAGAACTGAAGGGCGCAGTAGAAGGAATTCAGGACTATTAGTTTAAGCTTTCTGTCAGTAATCTAAATCTGCATAAGAAGACTAATTATAATAGGTCAGATGCCCTAGGCTTTACTATGATTGTTCACACTCCTGTACATGGTGGTGTCTTGTCACATTCTTCTGAGTCTATTCTTTCCTGTAGCCAGGTGGATCCCATGAGCACCACAGACATGCTCTGTGTGTCTACAAGCATGCGAGGAGGGAAAGGATGGGCTTGCTGCTTTCCAGCCCCTCTTCTTAAAAGCTGTGTTGACTCTTGCATGCTCTGCATCAGAACTTGCAGCAGCTTTAGAAGTGTCCCCTTCCACTAAGCCTTTGTCTCTCCATCTGCCCCCCTCCAAGCTGACCCAGCCTCTAATTCAGCTTCAATAGGGATGCCAGCTGGGCTCTTTGAACCAAAACAAGAACAAGGGGTTTGGAGAAAGGAAGGCAGGACCTTCAGAAGCTTAACAAAAATCATAGTAATCTCAAATCTCTGTTTCCTCCCATCTCTGCAACACAGCCCCATGTATGCATGGGTGAGCATTTTATCTACTATCTCTCCTCTCTCCCTTTCTCTGCAAGACAAAGCCAGCCGTCAAAAGCCAGAGCCCAAATGTGCTGACTGGTTCTGCTGGCACTGCCACCCTGCCCCTCCCCCAGCTCCGATGAGCCATACCTCGGTAAGGAGCCTTGAGCTGCACCCGGAGGCGTCGATGGCTTCTGCACGCCCACCCAGCTCTACCTCGACTGTTCCAGCTGAGACTGTTCACGAGACCACACAGAGGGAACTGGGTCGATTGCCTAAGATCTGATTTCTTCTAATACAATGGCATCGCTGCTGATGCAGGGAGGCTGCGCAATCCCAGCCCCAGTATCCTTGCTGCCGCTGGTGCTGCGGTGACGTTGCTGCTGAGGGAAGGGGGAGGGAAAGGAGCAGGCATGCCCACAGTACAGCCACTCAGCCGCCCTCCCTGCCAGTCCCTGCGGGCCCTTTAGCCTAGGGAAGCGGGAGGCAGTCAGTCCTGGAAGACGGAGAACCCTCAAAGCAGCGAAGGGCAAAGGTGAGGGCTGGGCCTAGCTCCCCTCTTGTCTATAGGAATCTCGGGGAGAGACTGGGTAGAGGCTTCGGGCTTCCTTCCTTTCTTAAGCCCCTCCTTTTAGATTTTAGCCAGAAACCTCTCCCGCCTCTTCTCATTCTCTGAATGACTCCTTGTTTCCCCAGCCTTTTCCTCTCAGTAGGATTCCAGACTAGCTTCAGGGTGGAGCAGCCAATCTGGGTGGAGGTTCCTGAAGCCCTGAAGGGAGGATGCAGGGGCCAGCCATCTTTCTGCCAGCAGTAACAGCCAGCTCAGCCCTGGGG